GGGGGGGGGGGGGGGTTTCCTACCTAATTATTTTTTCAGGTAATCAGAGTGTATGCACAACTCTATGTTCTGGTTATAATTGTTGATGATAAACAGGCAGGCGGGATGTGTTTATAAATGAGATAGCAAGGGGATACATATAAATGTACTTAACTGCTGCAAAAGAGTTTTTTATAATACACTACATGTACTTAGCCCCTTCTAGGTGTTTGGTTAGTTGGTGAGCAATGTAAAAAACAGCAAGGGAAAAAGTTAGCTAGGAGTGTGGTACCCGAAGCCCCTCTCTCCTTTTTACGCTTGTCATTTTTCAAGTTGCACCCTTACTAACTGAATACACGAAGAGACTACATGTAAAAGACTGCAAAAGCAAATACATATGTACACAGAACAATAAAGGTAAGGAAACTGTTCTGTGAACTAAAAAAGAACTTTATACATGTACAAAAACTACAGGGTTCTCAGTGTTTGTACTCTGAATCACTTTTTGGTATAATATGTAGTTATCCTTATAACGTTCAAAAATTTGTTTTGGAGGAAAAATCATGTGGGTGATACATAATTATGTAATGTTATTGTTCAAACATAATTTGGGATTTAGTGAGTAATGGTAACAGGTTTTAGCAGAATCCAATTCACTCCAAAATCATACCAGTGATGATCCAAATTGGACGACCATGTGTCTGGAGTCCAATTTGGTTCATCACAAGTTTGATATAACAAACAGAAGTGGCAGACATGCAAAATATTATTGTTCTTTGTCGTTCTTTCATCATGTTGTGTTTAGAATTTAAGAAGTGGTTAATAAAGGTACTAAAATAAATATGTTGCTTGTAATTCTGTACTTATTTGGAAGACATTACAAGAGAATTATAAGGGGTGCTCCCAAAGGCTTGCCATGCAGTCTTTCCACCCTAGAGAGGAGTGCGTGACAACCATTAGAATGTACAAATGTGAAGTCAACTTGGCAAATTAAAAAGAAATTAGCCAGACTTCATACAGTGTTAAAAAAAGGTTTTCATATAAATATATTGGCAAGGCAACCATTGACCATTCTTAATTCAAATAGAGGATCTCAGATTTCCTTGTGCATAGCATAGAGGCTAGTCCCCAGCCTCCCCAAAAGATGACCTTGTGATTTTAAGTACTTTTCAAAGAAGTGTCCCAATTCACAAGACAAAGCAGTGTCAGTAGACACAAAGCAAACGGCACCAAAGATATTTTGCACGAGTTTAGAGTTTTGAAAACTCGTGGAAGGCCCATCAGAATAAACCTTTGGTCAATGAGCAGGTGGACTCGCCCAGGTGGGCACAATTTGGACCAGGGCAGGTGTCCACTTCCAAGAGCTCTCCCCTCATGAGAGTTTAAAATGTTTAGTAGTGACCCTGGTAAGTGTCTGCTTATCAGAGGCACAGTACTATTTAAAAAAAAAAGATCGTTATCCATAGTTATCTTTTTAGAGACAGCAACGCTGTTTACAGTCTGTGACCAGTCTCTAATTGGAGGAACAAACACAACTGAGTGACTTATGATTGACAACTGATTAACTAAATGCAGGCCGTTTTTATACTTCTCTCTGTGGATCCACAATCTTTTCTTTCCAGTGCAATAATTTATTTTTAACACGGGATGAAGTTGCATTTTAAAGTATGGCGAAGTAACCATAGGAATAAATCAGTTAATCAAAATAGTGCGCCTGTAAATTTTCAGTTTGCAGCAATCTGGCGACATCTTTCCTTGTCCAGCATGGCATTTGTTATTGTATGACAACCAAGACCAACCAACGTTTTCTCGAACATGTCTTTTATTGGCTTTTATTTTCAGTGTCTCACAGGCTGATGTAGCTTCTTTCTTAAAATAAACCTTAAATTATAAATAGCCTTTAAATGCAGTTACACAGCAAGTGAGTACTGAAATCAGACGCTAAAATTTACCTAAGATTTACTAAAATGCAACACAAGAATTTAAGGTTTCATGTTGTCAGTTTAAAATTCGGCATTTTCTGTGGAAATGTGAAAATGTCCGCAAAAAAACAGCATAGAATCATGGTGTTAGTCATGTCAGTTTTGGTGAAACTTATGGCCTTTTATAACCTAAAAACAACAACCATACTGTATACAATTACACGGAACACAACCGAAATTACACTATCTTACAAAATTACGCAAGTCATACAAAACGCAATTCCCATTTTTTTCCCAATTTGATTGGATGTGACTTACAAACATAGAAATTACACTCAATAACGTAAACTATGAAAATGCGTTATTACAGGTATACTTTTGGATGAGTATCTTTTCATCTTATCCACCCTACAACAAACGAAAATGCTGAACCTTTTTCAATGAAGATGCATAGGATTAAAAGCTGTGTGAAAACTGGGGGCAATTTAAAGAGCATTTCGAAAACGAATTGGTTTGGACGGCGAAAAAGGGAGACTTTGGAAAACACCAGTTTGGATGCAAGCGTTTTGCGGTGAAAGCGAAGCGGTTCGAAAATGCATCAATGTGGGCGGCGCCAAGGGGGGAAATTTTAAATAGCTCTTTGCTGAACTTGGCTTGCTTTCCAAGGCTGAATTGTAGCGCCAGCCTATCGCGTATGTCCAATAAATAACAGATATGTGACTGATGGTCAAACATCCCTCTGCAAAAAAAGTGTTCTTTTCTTGGCTTGAAGATGAGAAGTACCTTTCTGCTGAGGACCGGCCGTTACTAAACTAACAATCGCGCTGTCATTTTCTTGCTGGACCTTGTAAAAAGTCGTTTTGTACCGAAGTAAAGAAATCATTAAGATTTGTCCGATCCACTCTGGTCTCGTCATCTTGACTCATTTCCGTATCATCCCATGGCCAGTAATAACGTGTACCGAGAGATGATCTGTGTCAGGAGCAAACAGCAAAACAAAGAATTATATGCACATCTGAATTTCTTTTCAAAATATTTATCTATACGATTTGAAAAACAGCCGGTTGAAAAATCTCGCCGTTGATGTACTACCGTATTCTCCGAACTGAGAACAAGTGAAACTTAAGTCAATTAGTACAAGAGAGTTTCCTTAAAGAGAAAATTTCCTGATTTTTCCCTTACTTTCCAGAAAACAGTTTTTACTAATGATACTGTAGATAGACTGGTCTAATGAAAAGACGCGAACTTTAAAGTTGCAAATTTCATTTGCAGAAAACAATTTTCTAATTGCCATAGTAATATGGATAATTTGAAGAACATCTTTTACCAAAACCTTTAAGTGCAAAGTTGCTGAATTTCACAAGAAATCGAAAATGTCTCTGACCAGATACAAAATTCTGCGACTTTTCCCTGAACTGAAGATTTCCCCCCCCCCCCTTGCCTTTGTCCAGACCTATGGCAACCCTCGCAGCTATAAACGAGATTCTGCTATTCAAGGTAAATCTATAAAATCAAAGATGTTCGTGTTTCATTACATGATAGAATTATGAGGACACCCTTAGCAAGAAAACTCACTTGAAGGACGCCACTGAATCTCGTGGACTCTCAAACGTCGACTCGTTAGTATCTTTATTGTAGAAATACAACCTTTTAGCTGATCGACTGTGAGCATAGGTCCACGGCTCTGTGTGGAGGCAGATTTAATAAAAAGAAAAACCTGTCAATTTATAGCGGAGTCTTTGCCTCCTCAGCATAAGCGATTCGGTTTTTGGTCGAGCTACAAAAGTATCACTTCTGGGTATTGAAAGAGCATAGCAAGATAAATTGTACCAAGAAATTTGAGACCGATTTATGCAGGTTTAAAATCTCAAAATTTTACAAAGAATGTATCATTAGCACTTTTACCACCTAGAATTTTTGCAGTTTTTTAAAGCCAATTTAACCTTGAATATTACACCCAAAGAGCCAAGAGCTTTTCTCTTCTTAAAATGTGGACAAAATTGCTAACTCTCGCTGCTCCCAAAGGCAATGTAATGGAGATCTAGAGTGCAATGATTTCTGTCTGGGAACGCCGAAGCGTTGTATCTTGGATTCTATCCTCATTGGGGTTTCATTCAGCATTAAGCCGTTTAATGGAGGGAGGCAGAATGTGCAGGAGAGGGAGGGGAGCGTGGGGTTCTACTGAGTGTCTAGGAGAAGCTAAATTATTTCAGTAAAGACCTTGCAGTGTTCAGGTAAATGATGGTAAATTCCACAACTGGCGTCCAGGCAATTACTGTAGAGAAAGCTATGTTTTTTCATTGTTAGGGTTTGGGGCTGCAACGCGTTCTTCATTCATTCACATGACAAATTGAAAGCAAGCAAAAGATGGAACGTACGTGGTTATTTTGTTACGAAAAAATAAAACAGTGGTGATCTTGCTGACCAGTTGTAATAGGAAAATGTTCATAGCATACCTTGAATACGTTTAATAAAGAAAATTCCTTTGGGAAGAAGATGGCTGCCGTCCTCCAGCACAAAACACTCTCGAGGTACTCGGCCCATTCCTTTGACAACTTTCATCTCGATTCTGAAATTAGTTGTAAACACTATTAGCTATTTTAGAAAGGTTTTATAATGAGTGTCGAAAAGTAATTGGTTTTAGATCTCTAAGCTACACGGTTGGCTTAAAAAATTCGCGCCACTTTTTCATCCAATCAGAAGTAAAACCAAAACCACTCGTAACTCGTTCGCCCTCGTTTTGCCGCGCTTTACGTCAGCTACATGTGATTACTTCAAGTTTTGATTGGTTCACTGCATTGTCTGTGCCCTTTGTGATTGGCTAGAGTGGTTGCTATGGTTTTGGATTTACAATACTCAATTGAACCCGCTCTACCTACTTAGACACTAGTAATACACTAGTATTATAACTTCTGCAATGTCTTTAACCTTTTAAGCCTTCGATGGACTAGTATTCCATCCAGGCTGACAAAGACGCTTCCCAAAGAGTCGAAAAGATTGAACTGAACAGGCCTTAATCCAACAGTAAAACCGGTTTACCTCGAGAAAATATCTTTAAGTGAACTGCTATCCAGACGGAAAACTTGTTTGAGCCTGAAATGCAAAATTATATTAGTCTTCATTCTTAAAAGACATCCACACAGGAAAATCCGTTACTCACTACCTACTTCTGAGATAAGGTTCTAAAATACGTTGGAATATGGTTCACATTTTCACTAGGCAGAAAATCTTGCAGCACATCAGTCAAAATCTTTTAAGACACGAAGGAAATCATTCTGCAATGAGGTCTCTCTCGTCTCTTATCTATACATACAAATTATCTTAACTGGCTGCCTGGCTCCTCTGGCCTGTATGGTCACACCGTGCGACCAGTATAACAATATTTAATAAAATTTTCTCAGTTTTTCTCCAAAAAGTAACTTTTTTTAAAAGAGCTACGTCACGGTTTGCGCATCTTGAAAAGTTTCGCCTAAAGTTTTCAAGTTCATCGTTTGTAATCCGTGTTAATCTTCTCCATCCTTCACCACCCTTGTTTCTTTATGGTTTATTATTATCTCTTAGGTGTTTTTCTATCTTAGTAAACTACTATTTTCAGGTTTCATTCAATTAAAGGTAATTTTGTACCTGGCCAAAGTAACTCAAACTACTGTGGTTATTGTCTTCAATCCCACGTTAAGAACCGACCCACTTCGAGAACCTGACGTCTTTCTACTTATGCCTGTTAGTCAGATATTTGACTAATGTCCTAAGTTCCCCAGAGCTCTTTCTGAAGTTCTGAAACATCGATACATACCTTAATGGCACCATCTCTGGACGTGTTGGTTTGTTGACAGCCTTAACTAGTAATCCAGCCATGGCCATTCTATAAGCCAAGCCAAAAACACAAGTGAACAAAAAGTTCAGCTGTGGTACTACAGTAAATTATCTAGTGTGATGGTTCGGGAGAGATCCCTGAAAGGACTGGTGTAGGTGATGGACGTGTTGAAAACCTGAGCAGAAGTCACCTTCAGAGTCGAATGAAAAAGTCACTGTTTGTCAGTCGATAGTGTTAAGTTTGCTGTAAAAACGTTTCTAAAGTGGAGAATATGAGAGGATTTAGCAACATTCCTGTTCATTTCAAGCTGCAATTTAACGAAACCAAGGTCAAGTAAGCGCTTTCTGAGAGAGACAAATGTGGACACTTCGTGTTACCTTTCATGATAGTGCTTACTCCTCACATCTTTGCCTCCGAGAATTACCGCATCAACGATATGAACAGCTGCAGCCCTCCTCTGGCCTTTGCCCTTTTTTAAGAGAAAAGCGCAAAGCAAGATGAATACAAGTAATGTATTTCAACTTTTTCTTGCAAGAATTCAATCATACACAAGTTGTCACCTCTTTATGTCACGTAATCTCCTTCCCGAGTTTACTCGGGTAGTCACGATACTTTTGTGGAGAGGAGCGATCCGTGACAATCCAAATGACAACTCGAGATGATCAAAACATTTGTACTCATTACCTGCTTTCTTTGATTTGTTATAAAAAGAGAAGGAGAAGTTGTCGGTTTATCACTTACCTCTCCCCGTAGCTCTTGCACTATTTCCACTTCAATCAGAGTGTCGCGAGGAAGTTCCAAGTTAAAATTTTCCAGCTTATGCCATCTTATTGAGCTGCGGAAGTTTGGTTTGCCATCCCACTTGTAGACGTTACTGCGCTAAAACCAAACACAACCATGATGGCAGAGCAGTTTTAAATTGAGTGTCGTAAAACCAAAACGATAGTAATCACTCTAGCCAATCACAAAGGACACAAACAATCCAACGATCCAATCACGACTTAAATACATGTAGCGGAACGCGTACGCAAAGCGCGGGAAAAAATGTGTGAGAAAGTCAGGATCGGTTCTGATTGGATGAAAAAGTGGCGCGAGCCAATCACGTAGCGTAGTAATGTGTCTCTGTTTCAAAACGAGTCTTCGTGCAAAACTTTTTGAATGAAAATGAGTTTGATTTGCAAGAAAATGAACATGTAGGCGGAACACACTTCCATATGAATGGTTTCGAATGCAGACTCGTTATGACACAGAGGCGAAAGGCAACTCGGAAGTGGTCTATTACTATTCGGAAATGAGGAAAACAAGAAATTATAATTAAACAGTGTCTCGCCTGTGGAAGGGTGACCGCAATAGACCATGTGATGCACTAAGTGCGTGACGAACTATTTCGTGACGTACGTGCGCGACATAAACGGTTACACTTACCCCAAGACCCATGATAAAAAATCTTTCTCCTCCAGATACAAAGCACTTGTAATTGTACAGACATTTAAGGTTCTGAATGTTCTTGGATGTCACCATCGTAGCTTCGGCATCAAAACAATGATCGTCATCAATACCCTTGAAGAAAGAAACAGCCATGATTATAAAGGCAAGGAGATGAAATTCTCATCAAATGGAATTGAAATTTGATTTTGGTTTTGGTAATGAAGATGATGAGGTGCAATGCAAAAAAACACAATTTACGCTCTCACGTTTCTCATGTCGCTTTTGTGAACATTTAACTAAAATTGTCCTCCAAACATGATGGTAAAAGATTTCTACTTAACGAAAAACTGTTCATTTGTGCAATGAATTAAAAAGCAACTCACCAAGATTAATTCGTGAGCACTCCATCTGAGCGGTCCGTTTAGCAAAATTCGGACCGCTAAGAGAACCAATCAGAAGTCCCCTTTCCATCGCGGACCAGTTCAGCAATATAATAATCTAATTTAATAACTTACCTTCCAAAGTTCATCAAACTTGACGTCAGGATCTGCTGCTCTATGAGCTGCACGTGCCTGCTCTGGAATCTGACATTAATCAGAATTTACAATAATTTATTATAAAAATTATTAAATGTCTTCAGGTCATGTGTTTGAGAGAGCTACATGCAAGTTGAACAGAATAGTCAATTTCTCTCGGCTAGAAATCTTGACCTTACCAACCTCAAACAGCTTAGAGAGATAATACATTGTATCTTCCTGGAGGAGGTGGTAACATTACGTAAAGTTCAGTTACGAAAAGTGCCTGCCTATTAAAAAAATTTCTAGAGCTTCTTCGATGAAAAAGGAGATGATATCCTCACCTTCCACTTTTCTAGACATTTCTTCTTGACCTCTCCCTGATCGTAATGCCCCATTAACGTTCTAACAAAACAAAATTGGAAAATAACAGCAATATTTAAAATAAAACATAAGTAGTATTACCAAAGACCTGAGTTACTAGTTTTGCATTACTACACTACACGATTGGCTTAAAAACCTCGTGCTACTTTTTCATCCAATCAGAAAGTAAAACCAAAACCAATCATAACTCGTTCACACGCGTTTTCCCGCGCCTCGCATCAGCGACAAGTATTTACTTCGAGTGTTGATTGGTTCGTTGGATTGTCTATGTCCTTTGCGATTGGCTAGAGTAATTACTTTCAATTGGCTCACTTGAAAACTGCTCTACCATCAAGCACTGTATTTAAATTACCAGCCATTATAACAACTAAAACGATAACTATGTTAACAAAATGGCACAGCAATGAATGAGATTTACTAAGAGGCAATTAGTCAAGATAACACAGTATAAAACTTACGTGTCTTGGACATAAGCTCTTAATTTCTTCAGTGAGTTGGCTTGTATCCTTCCTATTCTGAAACAAGTAGGATTGCACAAGTTTGACTGAAAATACTAAATGCTTTTTATACACGGTCATGACTAGTGGTTAAAGCTTGTACACCAGGTACCCAAGTAAAGATAGTACATGTATGTATTCATTAATCAAAGGATAGTAATAAATAACTATACTCTGTAAGTTGTTGACTCAGAGAAATCTTTTACAGAGCAGAATATATATTTTTTTTTTACGTTTTCTGTTTAGTGAATAGATTAAATTTATCATAAACAAATCATTGTCCATCCAATAGATATTAATATTGAATTTACATACTTGTCATTTGACTCAGCCATATATGAGGAGAATTCTTCATCTTCCATCAAAATATGCAATGGGACAATCTAGGAAATAAATGATATAATTATTCTTATAATATTACCTTATTTTGGCTTTTTTTTAACTTAAAAAATCTACATGTGAAGATAGGCAACTAAGGTAATCTGCATTTCCAACCTTGTGGTCCAACACGCCTGCACTTATCTCTGCCTTCTTTAACATGAAACGACTAGGAGTTAATTTACCCCACCCTGGATGGGATGTTAGTCCCTCGCAGGGTTACCACCAGCATTCATCTGAACAGTACTAGTTTTTGACCTGACAGAGAGAGGCACTGTAAGAGTAAAGTCTTCTGTCAATAATAGAAGATCCACCTAGTACTATAGGCCAGCAATGCGTCCAAAGAGCTAACAGCTACATAACTCTCTTAGCACATGAGACACCATTCAAACTCTAGCTTAATATTACACCACATTAAGGGCACCTGTCCAAATGGACACTTATAATAGACAGCATAATTAATAACATGGACATCTTTTACACAAATACAAGTTTAATTAAACTGTTAGTACCACTAACCTCATTTACATCCTCTATACCCTCAACCTTTAATCTATTGATTCTAACATTCACATTAAACATGTGCTCATGAACAGCTTGACTGTTGCCACGAAGACCTTTGCACACTATGTACCTGAATTAAGAAAAGACACTGATAATAACCACTTATTAACCAAGAGTGAGGTCTTTATGGGAAAACCTCAGACCGGGATCTTGCCATATTGATCGAGCGATAGCGAGGCTAATACAGCAAGGTGGAGGTTTGCGATTTTCCTGTAAAGACCGAACGTTTGAGGTTGATAAGTTGTTTATTATGACTTTTTGCTTTGTTTTTGCAAGCCCGTAATTGGCCTGTGGGCATTACTGGAGAATAATGTCCTACTATACAATTAGCCAATCAGAGCGTGCGTTATATTAGCTACAAGAACAAGCCATATGATAAGTTCAGTTAAAATACTTATCATTTGAGCTACAATGATCAAAATAAGACTGACTACAAGCCTTAAACTAAAAAGAAAAAAATCCACCACAGGCTACTCCCAAACATTTTCAACAGGTTGCTGTACTGACAATTTGCCACTACCCGTTTACATGTGTGTTTGCGTCTATGTTTGTTTGTTTTGTGTCCCTGACCTAAAAATGTAAAATATTGGCTGCCTGGCATTTTTAACTCTTAATAGGTTATTTCAGGTATGGGCTAGCACCCCTATATATTTTTTTTGTTTCTAACTGAAATTCTGGGGTAAAATAAAGTTGTTGTTGTTGTTGCTGTTGAGTGGAGCTGAGAAGCACTGTAAGATTAATTATTTTCTTGACCAAAGAGCACTAACATTGAAAATGGTGGCTGTCAGCGCATGAATTCTGACAACTCAATCAGACCTGAGATTAATGCACTAACTATTATTTACCAGTAGATTGCCACACCTCTAAGTCTTACGATTCATATTTCTGAACACTATTAGTTAATATATTTGAGTTACTGCTAGTTCTGAGCATTTTATGGTCCACACATTGCACATAGACAATACATTTATATTGTAGTCAATGATATTTTTAAGTCTACTTGATCAAAAAAAAAAAAAAAACAGTTTTGTATTGGATTATTTGCTTTACCTCTCAGAATTAGCCGGTCTGCTGGTCACAGGTTTGAAGACATACAACTCATCAAAGACACGGTACATCAGGTATACCAGACCAACACTAAATGGCGTGAAGAGATCAAACACCTTGCATACAAAGTGGCCACCTGAAGGACAAAATACCGACTTATATATTTTCTATTTACCAAAATAGAAAAAAGCAGATATATACAGCTGTAAACTAAAGGTAACTAAACAGGTATAATTTATATATACATGTATTGTTTCAAACATCGAATACCTTGTCTTAGAATGGAGAGTGCACAAAGAAACTGACACAGATATAACTGTTTGCTAAGAATTTCTTGGATGTTCTCCTGTCCTGCAACTGAGAATCCCTGTAATCAAAAATGAAAAAAGGAGTTGCCTCCTGATCATGCAAAACTGCTTGTAATGCATGCAAACATTTGTGTACTTTCTAACACTCCAAATTATTGTAATATCAACTTCCAACTACAGTTTAACAACTGCATCAAGTAGTATGGAAAATGGATACCCAGGATGTTAAGGGGCCTCCTACCCAGCCACGAGTCCCAACATACGGTCATCCAGGCACCCATTGCACTGAAATAACAGTAGAAAAAGGATGAGGAGGCAGGGGCAGAACAAGAAAAAGCAGGAGCCCCACCAAAAAACCACAGGACTATGCCACACTAAAACATGCCACTATGATGGGGCATAATGCACCTGTGCTAACATCCAGGAACTGCTGATAAACTGATGTCAGTGCCAGCTTCTCTTTATTGTTAATTTAGTTAAAATGCATTTAACTGTAAATGACACTAAGTAAACATTATTTTACAATACGTCACTAAGATGAGTACCTAACAGTTTTGGCCAAACACATGACGTTAAGACCTGCTATTTTTACTTACCCCATCTGCCATCACAAAATGAACTCCTTTATTATCAGTTGCCTCCATCACAAATCTTCTAAACTCCACCAAGTTCTCCTCATTGAAGATATCTCCATCATCATGAACACCTAGACGGTACAAAATATGCCTGTCAGTCATCATCATCAGTTCTGCTTCTCTGTATGGAGAGTGGGGCCAGATGACTGTTAGTACTGTTCCATAAATTACCCACCCTACCCCTGCCACAAAAAAGTTTTGCTTTAAAGCCCTTGGACCTCTGTAAATTACTGAATAGCTTATTAGCTTCATATGTGTGAACTTTCCTCAAAAACCAAAGTTTGGCTTTTGAAATTAGCCCCTCCCCTCAGACCTTCCTTGGGGTAAAAGAAGTAAAGTCTGCATCAGGCTAGAGGCCCATAGAGCCAGAACTTATCCTCGTCTCTGTAGCTTGAAGAAACCAGGAGTATTTTTACTTCTCCCTCAATGGGAAACTACGTGTAGTTCATCACAGGCTTACCCCAATCAGCATTAATTTTGAAGGCACCCATTTAAGGTCATTCCCCAGTATTGCATTGCTCATCCTTATGGCGCATAATTTCACACATGATTAGCGAGTGCGCATTAAAAAATGGCGGCTTTTTGTTTACAGCTGGACCTTGCCATAGAGGTAAATCATCATTTTCTTGCAAATGAGTTGGGGACCTATCATTTTGTTCTGTTGTTTTGAATTAGTAATAAATTTCTCTGTGTAAAATAAATATCGACCAATTCTCAGTGTAGAACAAAAAGCAATTGTCGGAAACATGAATTTAGCAAGCAATCGTGACTACAA